TAAAGTAGTACACTGTATAGACTAGCACTACAAATAATAAGACTAAAATAGTAGTTTTTGTTATATATATATATATATATATATATATATATATATATATATATTCTGTATGTTATATACAAAAATTATACACTTTTTCGGCTACATAATGTAAATAGTTTTTAGCGCAGGCTAAAAGTGATAATAGCCTTAATATTTAGAGTATTTATCATATTAGAGCCCGTGGTTAGCTAACTGAAAGTAGCTGATAAGTATTAAGTACTGAAAAGCAGGGGCAAAGCTAGAAGCCCGGCCACGGGTTTCGGCCGAACCCAGTAGTTTTTGCTCAAACAGTATATTTATGTTAAGAAATTAATTAAATATGAACAAATATTAAATTTAGAATCCAATTGTTAGTATTTGACGTTGTCGTTCCAAAATCCAGAACCAATAAAGCTGAAATCCTGGCTTCGCCTCTACTTAAAAGTATTTTAAGTTTTGAAGCTGACCTTATGGCTATTTTTATGTGGATCTCAACCTACTGCATAATGCCAGTTTCAAAACATAAAATGCTTTTCGGTACTTAATGCTTATTAGCTACTTTCAAAATTTTTTGTGGATCACGACCTACTGCATTTTTTCTTTAAGCTCATATGAGAAAAATTGTTGCTGTTCATTACTCATTTTTGCATTCTTCTTCTTTCAGCTCATAAAGGAAAAATTGTTGCTGTTTTTATTTGGCAGGTCCCGGAACTGTTTTCTGTGATAACATAAGTTACATCTTTATGTTCCTTACAATTGCCACTTCAAATTTAGTTGCTACTTCACTTGCACAGCAGGTAAGTTTTTGGTAATTGCTGTTTTACTGCCATGACTTTGATCTTTTCAATTTTGAGGTGTTTGGGCATTCTTGTAGCTAGTGGCAGATTCAAGATTTAGAGTAGTAGGTCTAGGTGATATATATGTATATATTTAACAAGTACATGATGGTTTTGAAAAAAAAATCATTTGTATGTGGCTCGAGGTGGAGGCAACAGGGTAGGGTCAGAGCTAGAAGCCCTGCTACAGTTCGATCGAACCCAGTAGCTTTGCTTAAAGTGTGTATTTGTGTTAAGAACTTCATTAAAATATAAATATTAAATTTAGAACCCAATTATTAGCACTTGAAGTCGGCGTTCTAAAATCCAAAACCCATAAAGTTGAATCCTAGCTCCTCTGCAGCAGGGGCGTTCGAACCCGTTATATGTTTTTATGTGAAATACGTTAAGATTAGTAGTATGTATTAAGAGAGCTGAACCTACTACTTCAAGAGAGCAGTGGGTGCATTGCATTTGCTCCTAAAGCCAGTTAAAACTCCTAACCAACTTAGTCTACAACCTGGATATGCCCCTAGAAGATATCCTAGATCTGCCATTTGTTGTAATCATATAAACCTCTAAATCAAGAAATCATCAACTTATAGTTATTCTACTGATTTCTTTCTCATATTCTAATTCTCATCTTGGGTTCTGGTGCAGGACAGAGATAAAGTGCAGCATCAGATATCTATCTTGCTTTTTATTGGGCTTGTCTGTGGTGTTGTGATGTTTATTTTTACGAGATTGTTTGGTATTCAGGCAATCACTTGTAAGCAATTCTTATTCTTATTTTACTGGTGGATGTATCAAGTGTGCTATTGATATTCCCCAAATAACAACTAATGTTTTATTTTTCTGACTCGTAGCTTTCACGGGGGCCAATAATGTCGATATCATAAACTCAGCCAACACTTATGTCCAGGTTATTCTCCTATTAATAATTTGCTTGTTCTTAATATCTTTTTAGCTTTAATTTTTCCCTTTTTAGCATCATTTTGTTAATCGATGAATGCCAATGCTTTTTCCACTTTCTGGTTGGTGAAGACATTAGACCGATTGTTAAGAGAGGATGAATTTATTTTTGTCGGTCAATTAGACATCTATCCAGAGTCCAGAAGTTTCTAAATAGAGACAGTTATTTGCTAAACATTGGCAATTTATCTGCTAAAGCAGGCAGGTAAGCTTTAACGCTGAAAATGTAGTATCATTTTCTATTATGATCAAGTTATATTGTTGATATGCATGGTGTATTTAAGCTTCACTTCAACTGAAAGTAGATATTATGGTGATAGATTCGAGGCTTGGCATGGCCAGCACTGCTGGTTGGTTGGGTTGCCCAAAGTGCAAGGTACCATTTACCAATTCTCAAGTATTTTGTATGTGTGGCTTTCTATTACATTTTGTTCTTTTGTATTTGAAGCTTTATTTTGATAAAAGTACTAACATATGTCCCAGGTTTGATTCTCTATTTATCTGATTCAACATAAGCTTAGTCCTGTGATATATATCAAGTTTCTCTGTTTTGTACTCTACGTTGTGTTGCATATGTCAAGTACTCTTCTCTTTCTTCTTCTTTTTTTTTTCCTTTTTCTTTTGTGATAAGCGCACTTCTCTCTCTTTCTTCTAGCCATATTTCATATTTCTATTGAGTTGTATATACTGGGGAATGATCTGGGCTTGAAGACAGCGACCATGAATTCTCGCTTAAAAACGAGATCTTTAACGGACGTGAATAGCCACCAGCTCCACTTAGTTGCAGCCTTATAATTTTCACATAAATCAAACTAGCAAGGATGAGTATGATAGAGGTGGAATTTTGATATTTGTCCTTTCAAAGCCAATCAAGACTCTTGCTTTCACTTACATGTGAACAATGAAAGGTCGTTGACAGACCTGAGAGACATCAGTCTATATTCTGTCTGCAGTTAGAAAGAAGAGTGACCCTTCTTTTCCCAGTAATATGATATATACATTGTTCATCTCGAATGAGTGACGGTAAGCTTTTCTTTAGGTCACTTTTAGGTGAAGATAGTTTATGCTTTTCTGACAGTATACTGTGTTCAGATACGTGCGTCACCTGGTCATGCTATTCATCTTGTGATATATGTTTCTTGCTCTTAAATGCGCAGCTTAGGCATGAAAGATTCATGGGGACCTTTAAAGGCTTTGGCCGTTGCTACTGTTATTAATGGCATTGGCGACATAGTCTTGTGCAGATTCTTCAGTTATGGTATTGCTGGAGCAGCATGGGCAACAATGGTGTCCCAAGTACGATTACTCATCCCTACCAATTCGTGTATTTAATCGCTAAACATATTTGATGTGTTCTTCATCGCTCTGTCTCTTCTATCTCCATTTTCATACATCTCAAAACCTTCCTAGCTTGGTAATCTGTTTCTAGGTCGTTGCAGCTTATATGATGATCAAAGCACTGAACGATAAAGGCTATAAGGGCTTTGCTATCTCTATTCCATCATCAGATGAACTCCTGCAGATATTCATGATTGCCGGCCCTGTGTTTCTAACAATGATGTCAAAGGTTTGTCTGAATTGCCTCATTCTCACCCAGTGCCAAAATCTTGTATTCTGTGGACATCTGACATTATGCTGAACCACAGGTTGTATTCTACTCTCTACTGGTCTATTTTGCTACCTCAATGGGCACACAGACAGTTGCTGCTCATCAGGTATGTTTTACTTTCAGTATTCTACTTATATGTACTTTATTTCTTCATCTTCGTAAAATAGCAACATAGATATGACCATTAACATATTGCCTTTTTATTTAGGTCATGGTACAATTGTTCATGATATGTGCAGTATGGGGTGAGCCTCTCTCTCAAACAGCACAGTCGTTTATGCCCGAATTGTTATATGGAGTCAACCGAAATTTGTCAAAGGTTGTAATCTTATTCATGTAAAAATCACAACATCCTGTGCCAAAGTAGTTTTTGGTATCCATCTCTGTAAATTTTGACTATGGTACCACGTGCTAGTCTATCATGAATAATTGCAGAATCAAACTCTTTGAGCAGAGAGTTCTCTCATCATTCCTTATTACAATCCTCTAAAAGATGAATATTTTGAACCAGGCTCGGATGCTGTTGAAGTCCCTAGTGGTCGTTGGAGCATCATTCGGACTGGTACTGGCATCTGTTGCAGCATCAGTTCCATGGTTATTCCCCAAAATTTTTTCACCTGATCCCGAGGTCATACGTGAGGTTAGTTCTGTAATGTACTTACATATCCTTTCGGTTAAAGACATTGCATTCTAGACATGACGCAGATGGTATTTGACACGTTTTGCTTTTGTGAGGATGTTCATCCTCTTCCACATACTTATCAGAAAAATATTGACTAATACAGAAGCATATAGAGAAATGATTAACAAACAATCATTGAACAAAAGAAAAAAGGACAGAAGGAAGAGTAGTTATTTGCTTTGTTATACTGGACAGTCATTGTGTAGGCCTGATGATGACTCGATAAGTTATTTCTACTGTGTAATGCAGCAGTGTTTTTCGCCCTTTACCTTTCGTTCTTTTATGTTTAATAATGAATGGGATAAGCTCAAAATTAGGTAACATGAAACTTTATTGTACAAAGTCCAATAGACGCAACCAGAAGGAGGTGGAAGGGTATTGTGCTCTTGTTTTCTTCACACAATTCAACAATATTATTGTCTGGTTCTCCTGATTATTTTTCTCTTTTCTATGGATGCAGATGCATAAAATATTACTGCCATACTTTCTATCCCTATGTGTGACACCCAGCATTCTTAGCCTTGAGGGAACTCTGTTGGTATGTTTTCATACTTTCTGTCAAAACTTTTGTTACTCTTTATTTCCTTGTCTTAGGCATGTTGATTTATCAACAGACAGTTTTTTCTGTTCAATTTGTCACATCTCAATTCTGCTTGTAATTGTTCACATGCATCATTTCTCTTTTTGTTTTTATTTTGTCGGTAGTATTATGTTTTAAGAAGCCTTTATCTCAACATCATGATGTTTTATTGTCTATTCAGGCTGGACGAGACTTGAAATACATAAGCTTATCAATGAGCTCGATATTTGTTTTGGCTTCTCTTCTCCTCATGGTATGCCATTCAATTTGCTTCAAAGTATCACTACCTCATGGAGTTTTGGCAAATCAAGTTCTTTATACCTTATACTTGCATTATTCCTGCATTAGATCTTGATAACTCGAATCTAATCTCTTTCCTTTTACCCTTCCCGTTCATACAATCAAATGTAAAGTGAAACTATATTTAAGCAAAGATATGCACTAACAATGAAAAAAACTATATTTACACAATCAGGTCACTTATTAGGTAATTACAGGTAAATCCTTATGATAAGCTACAGACCTGCTATAATAGGTTAAACTACACTGATCATGTAGAAAATCTTTACATTGCTAAGTGCACATAACTTAAATTCTTCACGATATTATTGTTAGAATAGTCATGTAAATAGGAGTAAATAAATAACCCTAATCCAATATATATTAGGAGTAGGACATGTTATGTGTGTGTATATATATAGGGCTCATTGTAACATATGAATACATCAATAATATATTTTCTCCCGTGCATTCTCACATGGTATCAGAGCAATTGTGAGAGGTTTATCGCTGTGCATAAATTCCAGCAATTCCGGGAAGAGAAATCAGTCACCGGAACCCTTTTTTCCGGCGACTTTTTCAAGCCTGTTTGCATCTGCTTTGTCTCTGTCAGTGTTGTGCAAAATCCAACACTACCACAAGAGTCGCCACTGTCCGGCGACCAAACCCCACAAAAAATCTCCGGCAAACAGTACCCCACGCGCCTCCACGCGCCACCAGAAGCTCACGCGCGTGAGCCCACGCGCCGGCGCGTGCACCACTTTCCGGCCATTTTTTGACGAAGTTCCTTCAGGGCAGTTGGATCGCCCTCAAATTCCGAGCCTACCCATAATTTTATTTTTCAATTCCGACCACTTTGAGTTTTTCCGGCGACTACACTGATTTTTCCGGCAGCTACAGTACTTTTCCGGCAAACACAGTGTTTTCTTCATCTGTTTCAGAGAATTTTCAGTTGATTCTTTTTGTTATTTGGTGATAATCCAACCATGTCTTTGGGAGTCGATGCTTTCGGGTCTAGAAACCCGGGTTCTGGCAGTTCCAGTGTTATGATTACCTCAGAACCTTTAATGGGAGGTTCAAACTACTTAGATTGGGCTTCATCTGTCGAGTTGTGGTGTAAAGGTCAAGGAGTTCAAGATCATTTAACAAAAAAGGCTAGCGAAGGTGATGAAAAGGCCAAAACACAGTGGGAGAAGGTCGATGCTCAGTTATGTAGTATCCTGTGGCGATCTATTGATTCCAAGTTGATGCCCTTGTTCCGTCCATTCCAGACATGTTATTTAGTTTGGGAAAAGGCTCGTAATCTATACACTAATGACATATCTCGTTTCTATGATGTAATATCGCGAATGACAAGCTTGAAGAAACAGGAATTAGATATGTCTACTTACTTGGGACAAGTTCAGGCAGTCATGGAAGAATTTGNTTGATGAATTTCGGTTCCACGCCTTCTCGAGTTCGTCCTTGTATAAGGACAAGATGAAGTACCTTCATGATAAATATGCTCGTGGAAAGGAGTTCAAAGTTGGTGATTCGGTTCTCTTGTTCAATTCCCGGTTACGTCTGTTTCCTGGAAAGCTTAAATCAAAATGGAGTGGACCATTTGAAGTTGTGTTGCTGACCCCTTTTGGTGCTCTTGATTTGAAAAACAAAAATGGTGAAGTCTTTAGAGTGAATGGGCACCGTGTCAAGCATTATCTTGGAAAAATTGATGACAGCCACGTAGTGGCACTTATCCATTTCAAATGATGTGATGGTAACCCGCGTCGTGCCGCGACGTTAAATCAGGCACTTCTTGGGAGGCAACCCATGTGTTTTTCTTCTTGTTTTCTTTGATTTCTTTGTAGTCTAGGATTGATTTTTGGGCTGACTGGTTGTGAGATGTTGCAGGGATGGTGTTGATGTAGTGCAAGACATAATGAAGAAAATGTTCAGTCTCTGAAGTTACCAGCGCGGCCGCACTACACTTTGTACGATCCGCACTGGTGAAGGCCAAAATGGTACCTCTCTGAAGTTGGCCACTGCGGCCGCGGTCTGTTCTATGCGGACCGCAGTGAGATAACTGGCCAAGCTTGATCATAGCAGCCCAGTGCGGACCGCGGTGCATTTTGTGCGGTCCGCACTGGTAGGTGAGCATGGGCCCCAGGGGTTTGTCTATAAATAGACCCTGAGGGCCTCCTTTTACCCTTTTCGCAAAATCGAACCTCAGAGCTATTATTTACTGTTCATTCCTTCCTTCTTGATCGTAATTCTTTCTTGACATTGATTAGTTGCACTTCATCCCTCTATCTAGTAACATTTCACTCAATTCTTCTTTGTTTAATTGTATAATTTCATTTTATTTTCACTTTTCTTAGATTATAGTTCTTCTTCTTCCCGTAATTAGTTCGATTTTTAGGTTAAGTTAGTTTAAATGATGATTCATGTGGACTTAGTGAGTATAATGGACTGGGTAACCATTTAGGGACATAAATTAGGGACCAAATTGACCTTAATTGCAAAATCTGATGAACCCTAGTTTAGTGCCAAAAATGGGCACCCTGTGCGAACCGCGGTCAATTTTGTGCGGTCCGCGGTGCCCCAGTGCGGCCGCAGTTGCTTTTGTGCGGTCCGCACTGCTGAGATTCAGAGAGATTGTTTTTGGAACCCCCCACCTGTGCGGACCGCGGTCATTTCTGTGCGGTCCGCGGTGGCCCCTGTGCGGCTGCAGTTGATTTTGTGCGGTCCGCACTGGGTACTTCTGCAATATGTCTGCTACACTTCTTGTTCTGCTTCTGCTAATTTACTCTTAAATGATTACACTGATACTAACAAGCTGTTTTAACCATGATTGCAGACAATGGTGAGAAAAAGGGGTAAACAACCGGGCAGAGGAGAATCCTCTCGGGGAGGGAAAAACAAGATGATAAAACTCACTCCCCAAGCTCGAGAAAACATAAAAAGGACCAGAAAACTAATAAAAGCTGCTGATAGAGCTGCCTCCCATTCATCGGGGAGTGAGTACCAACCGTCAAGGGACATTTCTTCAGACTCCAAGCCAGAATATGTTGAAGACTACCCGGAGAGATTCAGGCTAAGAGATACCCCTCTACCATCACCCACTGCCCAAGCACTAGAGCATGTTCCCACTGAGTCGTCTGAGGGCTCAGTAGCCGGTAGTGGTGATTACTCCACCTCCCCTACAACTTCATTATCTGGGGAGAGTGCAGAAGGAGGTGAGGAGGAGGTACAAGGGGATGAGGAGATAGCTGAAGGTGGTGAGCCTCAGGTGGGAGGCATTGCCCGAACTAGAAAGCCGGAGGTTTGGCGAGATAGGTTCGTGAGTGAGGTAGCGTACCACAAATTTAGGGAGTGGTGGCCAGATAGAAAATTGATACCGGAAAGGAGATTCATTGATAGAGATCTTTTACCCCACAACCCCAATGTGCAAAGACAGTTTAGGACCACAGTGGGTTGGGAACATTTTATGGAGGAGTGTGTAAATGCCAATGAACACATGGTCAAGGAGTTTTATTGCAATGTAGCCCACATCAAAAAGGGCTCCAAAGTGACCAAGGTTCACAATAAGACAGTGTTGTTTGATGGGAAATACCTCAACGAATACTTGGGCTTCAACGAGGAGGATGAAACTTTGTACATGGCGAAGTTGGAGATGGGCGAGGAGGTCCGTCCATGGTTAGCTCAGTACCTGGGAATCCCAAGTACCGTTCTTGAGTGTTTGACTGCTAGGGTAAAAATATTGTGGAGGACCTTGAACTTTGAGGTGAGGGGTTGGGAGACATTTGTTTGCAGCCGATTGGATCCTACTACAGATGACCAGACCCTTCCTCTCCACCGGGCTGTATTGGTTGCTTCGATTATGGCAGGATACCCCATAAATGTGGGGAATGTGATGTCCCGTATTATCTCGTTAGTGGTAGCAGAGCATGATCGGAACTACCCTTTCCCTAGCACCCTCACTGTGTACTTTCGGGATTTGGAGGTGGACAAGAAGCCCTACGATGTCAAGGTCAAGGCGACAGCCCCGTTCTCCTGGTATAGCTTGAAGGGGAATGACAACCCCAAGGACAAGAACT